ATATATATATATATCGGCTTCCTACGCCTTGGAATAAATACTGAAACCGTCCAACCTTCTGGAAGATGATCGATATAGAAAAATACTTTTAACAGCATCAACAAGGGAGGAAATGCCCCCAAATAGTCCCAGTGGAATTCGAAGTAGACATGTGAAGACTTTGAGGATTCGCCATAACAAGGGGGGTGTGTAAGAGCAGAGCAAATATCTTTCTTTTTTCTCAAAAGGTTTGGTAAATTAATCCCTAGAACAATTAGAAATACGTCCCCATCTCAGGACTTGTGGTGGCCTGCCTCTTTCCTTTTTCTATTACAATCCTTCTTGCATTACAAATTTAATGTTACCAGCTTCCTTGCCGATTATGTTGAGATCAACTTCAACCAGATATTAACGCTTGATTGTACTAATTTATTACCGGTGTAAGAAACTGTTCAAATCACGTAATATTCTTGTTTGCATGGATTAATCATTGTCATGACGTTATGGCAACATCATAACGTTATCACAAAATTGATAACGGTCATTAACTGATTACCATCAAATTTTTTTTTTACAAAAAGTAAATAACAAAGATTAAATTCGAACTGATAGCCTTACGATAAATTATAAAAATCTTTACCAGCTAATTATGTCGGCTGAAACCTTCAACATTTCACTATATTAATTGATAGTAAAATTGCACAAACAAAAAGAAGCATAGCAGGAGACCAATGTGTAACGGTGAGCACATATATAACTCTGTATCACTATTTTGGCAGCGCATGACTATGCTGGGCTTAGCTTCATCCCAAAGTTTGTTCTGACAAGATATTTCAGATCGGAACATGATTGGTCAAGTATATATTTACACCACAATCTTCTCCGATAATAAAAATACCAACAAGCATATAGTTAATTTACAATCTGAGTTGTGGCAGCGAGTTGTTCTGACCACAAAAAAAAGCCTCGTTGCAGGGGTCTCCAGAAACCAACCTGGCAAAAGATCAACAAGAACTTTCAGGTCCAAAGTGCTACATGGATGATTAACAAAGCGCTAAGCACCGACATAATGTTATTGAAATGCTGAAATGAGATGGTAATTACTGACAACCAAACAACAAAATCATAAGATAGTAGACATGCCACACGGCCAGCAAAAGATGATTCCCTTTCTTTTTTCTTTCTGCAAGGGAGGGAGGATTCGTTTGCTTTCCTCAAGGATCCCAATAGGAAGATTTCTACCAGAAGAAAGAACCATTGACTGGTTACACCTAAAGCATAGACTCGTCCAACAAAATTATCTACTAGAACACAAATTAGAACTAGGTAAAAAATGGTACAAGGATATAATTGTGATATTCACAAAAAAAGAATAAAAACATCTGCAACCAACAGAAAGTAGCATGAAATTTATTACGGAACAAGGAAAAATGTGCATCAGGTATTCACACTAACAAGATGAAAATGAGAGCACAAGACAGGTACACGATGACTTAACTCTGTTTCTGCATGCCCACAGAATGTTAGTTGCCCATCGATAACTTCAGTCACCGCCAATATTGAGCCCAACGATGAATGGTCTCAACCATTTGAGGAAACAATGCACTAACACTGTCAGTTATGAGATCCTGGAAAAAATGGATGGCGTCCTCGTCGTCCAGATCCAATCGAAACTTCTCTTGAAGCTAATCACAAACATGACCATTTAATGAATGTATATAACATCTATCAGACTTGGATCTCATATTAAAACAATGAAACAGGATTGGAGTACCTTGAGAATCCCCTTTTCAGGATCAGAAGCTATGTCAGGGATGTTAGAACCAGCCATTAGGTGAAAGAGATTCAATATAAGGTTGCTGGACTTTCGTAAAATGTTGTATGCTTCACAACAATAAGATTTGAACCTTGTATAATATTGGCTGCAATGAAGGAATGAACTAAATCATGATGTGCATATTAGCTTCTAAATTGTAGCAAACTAGATGAAGATGCTGATCCAACAAAAAAATTTGTAACAATTAGGATATAACTTGAGCAAACTTTTAGCATGTAGTTTCATGCATTGATCAATATGACAGTTCATAACATGACAGTGCATTAATATAACATGCAGAATGATGCAAAGCACACTGGAGTTACACCTTTTAATGCTGGGTTTATGTTTTGCCAATGCATAATACTACATATAGCAGAAGCACATCCATTTGTGACTATATGATGTGTCATATATTTGATCATTAAAAGATGAAATACTGGTGAACTTGTAAAAGCCACAATATCTTATTTTATCATGATAATCATTAATTACATGTGCTAAGGGCCATCAGTTTTCTTATCTATTCCATCAAATATTTTGCTCATAATCTTCAGTCTAATACTTTCAGACAAAAAAAATACACAAGATAAGAGCAAGAAAACATTATCTAGAGATACATGAATCATGCTTTTTTGATACTCATCCATTGTACACTACTAAGAGCAAGGACTGCTGTCTCGTACCAACCACATTATTGGTCCATGGCCAAACCGATACGTACATTGGTATGTACCAAAGGTTCAAAGAGGGCGGAGTAGAGGAAAGAATAGATGGTGACGTAGGAAGAAGGAAGGAGGAACAAAGAAGAAGAAAAAGGAAGAAGAGGAGGAAGAGGACGAGGAGAAGAGGAGAGAGTGTTCTCGAAATCAGCGGCAATGGGTAGTGATAGGCAATTTACAGCGAAGAGGGCTCATGAAAGTTAGCCCTAAACCTGTAGTTGTTTAATGGTTTTTTTTTTCTCTTTTTAATGGGTCAAACAGGACCGTCAATATGGGGGCCTACTGGTTCATACCCCGACTGGTATATACTGCCCGTTTCATACCAGTCCAGGTGAAACCGCATTCCATGACTAAGAGAAAGTAGTTGTTAGTCATCCACATGATCTCAGCAATGTCAAAATCAATCAAACCACTTATAGTACTGCAGCAAACTGCCATAACATATAAAACAGTTGAGAGCAATTTGAATGACCATGTCACGAATTAAATGATGCTTTACAATATGTTCTGGTCCAAGCAAGATTTGTGCTCAGGCATATGCATGCACATGGCAGAGTTTCTCAGAATGAAAATGCACAAAACAAATTTATTCCATATATTTGTGGCAATCAAGAATTTTGGTTTCATCAGCATAAGCAAGGAGGTTCATGACAGTACAATACCATGACAAATTATATGCATTAAGAAGAATCTGCATTTTTATCATCAACTCTATAAAGCATATGTACTACTACATAAAGGTGACAAGTTATAAACAATGAATCAGTATACCTTTCTGCTCCACCCATGGCCTCGACCATTTCTTTGCAAAGCTTCATAGGCGGTGGAAATGGCTTGGGATCTCGACCCAATATAAAGGCAAAATCCACATGAAATAGACGACCATCATCTCTAAGGAGGAGGTTATCCAGATGTCTACAGCCATGATTAACACTTTGGTTTCATTATATCTCAGAAAATTGAAATTGCCATATTGTTTAAAATATATTCAACAATTTGATGAAAAATGATACCAGTGTCAGCATAAGAATTTAAATACAGTTCAAAAAGTTGTAATCACCGAGCAAATAGACAAGACTATTCCAAACATGGAAAAGCACTCTTCCA